TTGAAGGAAGGGATAATTCCGCCGTCAAGCGGCTGCAAGTGCGACGTCGTATTGGGGGGCAGGTATTCCACACGAACATTGGACAATTGCTGATCAATCTTGTGCGAGGAGGCGTTGTCGACCAAAAGCAGCACCATTCGGTCGTTTTCCCGCATTTCGTTGTTGAAATTAAGCGTGCGGGAAATAGCTTGTATAGATGGACGCGAGGTGAGCATAAACTCAACTTTCGTCCAATTTGACAAAGAAGTGAAAGTCATTGTTGGGTTGGCCAAGTGATGCTCATAAATTCTCGGCGTTGCTGGGTGTTAAGGACAGTTCGTTTTTGTGATGGCTTTTTCATCGAAGGCAGTCAATGGATAAGTGACCACACGTTCAGGCCACTGCTTAAGTTAAGTTTGAATTTTTGAAATGCTTGACAGTGTCACACAAAAAACCTTTGTATATTGATGATATACTACTCTATAGAAAGAACAGTTATAAAGTTTGATGGATTTTCATTAAGACAGGGATTACCTGTATAATGATATATGCAAGTAATATTCAAACTTGTCTGTCGTTGAAATTCACGTGCTTGATTGGTCCGATGAACAATCGCCCCAAGAGTTTCGAATTCATGTTTCAATGGACTTATTTATCCCTTGAGACCGTGGCGAGTTATCCAAGTACCTTCATAACATCACTACGGAAATCCATCGGTGGGAATGCCCCAGAAGCTCCACCAACATGCCTAAAGAGCACTACGGAGTACATTCGTGTGTTCGAGGCATGAATGACTATGTCCCACAGATGGACCCGACTATGTCGATGGAAGTGGACGTACCTTTTCAAGAGGTGTCAGGCCGTAAAAAACGCAAGGAGCGGTCGCGCACGACACCTAAAACACTAGCTGACTTTGCTACGCCGAATTTCTTCGCAGTCCTACGTACCTACAACGGGGGCTTTCAGCCTCTCCAGCGGAGGACTGACCGGGATACTGTTACGATGATTCCTACGTTCGAGCCTCGAACGCTCGATGAGGATGAGCGTAATCAATGTATCACAACGATGCACCAGTCAGACAACACACTTACGTTTGACGTGGAGACGATGTCGATTGGGCGACTTCACGACATCCTTACAGCGTCCATCGCTTAAGTGCATGCGGAGAATCTCGTCAACACTGAGCGTACCTTTGCCGAAGCTCTCGAGGACGACCTCAGTGGGCTATCGGAGCTCCTAAAAGGCCAGATGGATAAATTTTGGACGCTGGTTCAAAAGAAACACCTATCCGCCAATGTGACGCTACACGATATGGCCAAATACGACACTATCACGCTGACATTAATGGTCCATTTACACACATGGCATCGATGGTTTGCAGCGACGTCAAGGAGGAAGGTACAAGCCTTCGCCGATACGTACAAGCACATCTACGGAAAAACGAAGATTGGACACGCTCAACTGCAGCGTCGTCGTGAGGAATTTCAGGTAGCCACTGTCGGCGACATGCTGAAACCTGTGAAGGACCATCAGATCCTAGTGGAGGGCGCGATGTCCCTCTTTGAACTATGGCTGTGTGTCATGACACCTACCTTCTACCGGCACGATGCATGGGTGCTGTGCTTGACAGGGCAGTCTGTAATTTGGCCGCCGTCGGGAGGTAGACTGCTCCTCACCTCAAGAACTTTGCTCCGGATCCTACAAACTCACTTGGGACAATTCATTTTGGATCGGTTGGTGGTGCTTTTACCTGACCACGCTTTTGTCGGTCAATTGTCTGTAATGCGCACATTGACACATGTCTACGAGGACGATCAAACCCTGGAAGTGCGAATTAAGGGACACACAGAAACCTTAGATTTGTCCAACATTGTCTCGCGCAGCCAGTACGTCTGAACTAAGTTCCTCATATCATCAAACCGCACCCAACCAATCACGTCGATCGATCACATTGCTAACCTGTAACATCAACGGCATCTCGTCAGTTGACAATGGGCACAACTTTGTCGAGCGCATCATGCGCAGGGCAAACATCGTCGCCTTACAGGAAACAAAATTGAAAGACAGCCACCACCTATCAATTTTCAAGTACCACATCCAGCACGCGCTTGGACACGGCAAATACTTCATTGTCGTGAACGACCCGCGTGTTGCAC